CTCCACTGTCGCTACAAGCATGCTTAGTGTGAGGGATTGCTGAAGAGTCAATGAGTCGATGCAATCAGCTGGTTTTCCTTAGATAGAAAACTTTGATTCAATCTGACTGGATGATCTAGTGAACTGTAGCGTGCCTTGAGATGACATGTGTTGTGAATTGGCGCTAAAGAAAATAAACTGAATTGAATTGAATTAAGGAGATTAGTGACGTATGGTTCAAACTGTCCTTCCCATCGAGAAAACATGGTTGAAAAGACATTAAAAAGATGATATGATTTAGGAAAAACGTCAACATTTGGTTGAAAATTGTGGAAAACTGCAATTTTGAGATCATTGAAGGACGTTTGCAGCGACTTTTCTATTTCTATTTATGCACTAAAGTGGGACAAAATCAGAGTGACCAAAAACAGCCCAATTTTCAACAACTATTTCTGGACTTAATCCAGAATATGACGCATCGAACAGATTTGGCCTAAAAGCTAACATCTAAATGGTGTTGGTTTCCATGGGACAGCAGTCACAGTTAAAAGCTGTTGTAATAATTGGACAGATTTAAGGTAAATAATTTTTTCCACTTCCTGTGTCTTACACTGCTACCATTAGAGTTTGTTCACACTGAACATGAACAAGGCCATTTTTTTTGCATGGTTCGCCTGCCGTGGCCAGTTTGACATGCTGTGTGTCTCTTGCCAACAATCGGCACAAACTCCAAAGGTTAAAAAAAGCTGGAAGAATGGATTGTTATGTAGAAGGAACAGAGAGCAGCTCTGATTATTATTGATGCACTAAAACATTTTTATGAACAATAGGGATACATGCCCGTTGAGGTACATTAAAGTGTATGGTTCGTACAAAACTAAAGGGATAAACTAGATTAGATTAGATTCAACTTCACAGTCATTACATAGGTACAGGTACAAGGCAACGTAATGCAGTTTAGGTCTAACCAGAAGTGCAGGATATACAATATTATTACTATAAAATGAATAAATAAAACTAAAACTTGGACAAAAGCTTTCAAAATTAAAGTGCAGTGGAAGGTAATTGCATATTACAGTTAAAGTACGGTATTGCAAATTTAGATGTAAACAACTGGTGCTGTGAATAAACAGTCTGCAGTGCAAATCAATATTCCAGTCAAGGTAAGTAGTGCAAGATGCAATTAAACAGCTGTTACTATAGTAACAGTCAGCAGTGCAAGTGAACATTATAGTATTGCTAATATATAAATAATAATAATAATAATAAATGGAGGCAGATTTGAGGAGGGAGAGGAGAGTCTGTCACTATATGAGCGGAGTGTGATCAGTGAGGATTAGACTTCAATACAGAGGCAGCTCTGGGGAAAATGTTCTTTAGTTCAAAGTTCTTTACTTCCTTTAAACTCAAAGGATATTGACTATGGGTATGCTGGTCTGACAGGGTATGCTGGTCTGACGGGGTATGCTCATCTGCCAGAACACCGGCGGTATGCCGGAGGTCTGGCGTAATGGTTTAACAACACAACAATAGGCCTGTCAGCTACATTATCTGGGTGGGCCCAGATATGGGCTCATATGAAGTAAAACATGTGATAAAGGCTCAGGATACAGTGACAGTTCCATAAATCTGCCAATAAGTTACAATTATGCAATTCTCAGTAGTAAATGATCACAAAAATATTGACTGCGCACCTTGAATGGAACCATTGGTGACAGCGCACCACCAAGCTGGATATACTTTAGTATATTAGCACAACAAGCCATGGGGCTACCCTCAGCTTCACAGCCCCCCTCCTCACCCACGCTCTCTCCATTCATCTCCTGGTCTCAATCTTTACTCACTGTAGCAGCAACGTCCACCTTTGTTTCTTCGGTTCTTTGAAAGAACATGTTTATTTTGAGAAGTTTTTTTCGTCACTTAAGTGCCTCTTTTTGGTTTCCATCGTTGCTAACACATTGTACATAACGGTTGTGGTTTTAATCTACGCTCTAAGTTACCAATAATTCCAAGTGGTTTCTTTTAAGGTCTTTATTGCGCATTGAAACATATTATATGAGTGTATTTTTACCAACCGTCTAATGAACTATAAACAGTTATTAACATAGTAATTAAAAGTCCCACTGCCTGCTTTGCTATTAGGGTCGTGTTTAAACAGCTCACCATCATGTTGAAATCTGCCATGTGTTGCGGTATAAATGTGGTTCGGTGAGGTCAGTCTCTTCAGTGTTCGGTGGGTTTAAGAAGAATCTTTTGCACCATTACATCTGCAAAGAGGCGTCCTAGTCTACAATTGCGTGGGGGACCTGGGTGTCAGTGATGGGGCCCCTAAGTAGCCGTGGGCCTGTAAGCTTAGCGATATTTACTCCATTGGTCTGGTGATGCCAACAAGAACTGCAGATTTTAGTGGGATTATAATCCTGAAGAACTGATGAACAGATGATGTTTATAGATGGACTTTTTCACTTAAAAACAGGTTAAAACTATTTTTGCAGCCCATATAGTAAATAAAGCAAAGCTGCTATCTAGCTGGAAGCTGCAGAACAGAGGAGATAAACAGTCAAAGCAGCTGGACCGTTTGATCCAGCATCAAAGTTTCTGCGTAACACCTTTGTTGCAGTAGAGCTCCATTTATTTACATACACACAGATGAGCCAATGTGCATGGTACCTAACATGACAAAGTAGATTCCTGTAGTTTCCTACTGATCAAACCTACACACTGATCAGCTCTAAAAGAGCAGAAAACATTTTACAATAAAAATCTCTGATTTTGTTTCCATTGTTAAGACGTAGTCTTTATATTGTTTCACATCATCCAAGGAAAAATGGATTTTGTTCCAATGTTACTCAATTCAGTGTAATATTTTAATTAGCATTCTGCACATTAAGCTGTAAATGTCAGACTACTTTAACCCTGATGGGTACTTACTGCTTTGAGCAAGATGCAAATGAAAAAGACCTTTAAATAATCCAGATCTATTCTATTTCTCTTAGCATCCTATAATAGGAGCACGTCTCCTTTTTAGGTCGTCTAACATTACTGATTAGGAAATGCTGTGAGCTTAAGTCCGAGACATGAGTTAGATCTTAAATTAAGTTTCAACATTAACTTCTGTCCACTGTCTTATGGAGGAAGAAAAGAGTGTAATCCTTTTATCATATCGACCTTCTAAAAAAACAGAAATGCTCTTAACATCTTTCTTAAGGCGCTCTTAACACTCGTTGTGCACAGGGCAATAAAGCTAACTGTATTACACAGGAGCAGGGATCCCTCAGTGATTGAGTCTTCCTCAACTAAAGGCGTGCAAATGCACTGATAGTGGTCTGCAGGCTAATAAGGAAAGGTGGCTGTTATTACCGAATGTCTGGGATGTGATTAACATTAACAGGATTGGGCCGGGGCAATTGCATTAGCGGGGAAGCAAAGTTGTCATAAATGCTTCTCTGGTAATGAGATGTTAAGTGCAGGAAGGCGGTGGGGGGGGGGTGAATCACTGCAGTATAAAGGTGAAGCTGTCAAGGTGTGAAGGCAACTTTGTGGTGCAGAAAAACAAAGCCAAACTCTGTTCTGCTGTTTCCCAACATGGAGATCATATTAATGCTCCTATTGTTTTTTATCTTACTTTAGGTCATTGATCAGACTACTGCATTACTGCATAACTGACCCCAAATCAAACCTTTAGCAGGTTTATAAATCAGCTGTTTACTTTTAGGACACATGTGGGATCTTCTCTGTGAACTCCAGCAGGTAACGCTGTCTGGGTTTAATTACTGTTATTTCATAATCAAGCCAAGGAGGGACAGGTGAACAAAGTCCTGTAGATCCTTTGGTTAGTGCAACCTGCTTTTAATCACTAAGTCATTTATTTGGTTATTCTTCAGAAAGCATGAAACGATTTCAATCTTCCCTTATGAAGCTATAGAAAATACTTCAACATATTTTTATTCAATTTAGGAAGGCTAAATATTCTGGCTTTGATAAAATAATTTTAAGTGCATTTTCTTGTTACTAAAATATGTTATCTTCTCATTTCAATTTTTCAAAGCAAGTTTAAAGACTTTATGGATTTGTTATAGCCGACTGATTTATGAGAAGATTGTATCTCAAACTGAAATCCAAAACAACTGAAAGGTAGAACCTTTGACTGCTTGGCAAATTATATATGTTTACCTTTTGTACCTTTATTTGTTTCACACAGACGGATAAATTAATCCATGGTGGAAACAGCAAAAGTATCCATGTCTGAAAAACCTTTACTCTTCAAAGATGAGCTGTTGTTTTGTTTTTCTTGTCCTCGTATAAAGATTTGATTCTTTCAGAAAACAAAAAGGGAGGCAGAACTGGTCATGTCTCAGCTCCTGATTCCTTCTTTTTACCACATATTGGTGGATTTATTCTGCTAATTCCATCTGACAGAAAATAGGCCATTTATTATATCAAGGAAGGAAGGAAGGAAGGAAGCAAGCAAGCAAGCAAGCAAGCAAGCAAGCAAGCAAGGAAGGAAGGAAGGAAGGAAGGAAGGAAGGAAGGAAGGAAGGAAGGAAGGAAGGAAGGAAGGAAGGAAGGAAGTTCTTACCACAGCGACAGCATCTGAGGCCAGGAGTTCTTCTGCTGACATCACAGTGTAGTAGGCCACATTGGTCAACACATAGCAGAAGGTCACAATAGCCATTGAGATACAGATGGCTAATGGGACCGTCCTGGAAGTAGAAAGATGGTTTAGAAAGAGGTGGGCTGCTAACCTCCTTCTCCTCTTTTTCTTTTAGGTACGTCCAATTTATGGTAAAGTTTGTGACATTTCGAGTAAGAAATAATGTATCATCAAACATCGTCAACATCAGTGTTGTTCAATAGTCTGCAGCCTTCCATGTTTGTTTGGGAGCACTTTTATTATGATATGATGTTATATCGTCTTGTCTGGATGATGATGGGATGTTTGCCAAAGTCTGTCATGAAACAATTTCCATTTAGTTCAATTGGCTAATCTTAATGTTTTTAATTTGCATGACTGCAATTGGACATTTAATGGATCTGTCAGTTTGGCTTCTCATTTTTATCCAATCCTTTGTCTTATAGGATTTTTACGCCATATTACGTGTAATTGGTCACATTACTGTAATTAAATAAAATTTTTATACATTCATATTTTTAAGTAGTTCACAAAGGTTGAACTTTTACTTTACAATCTTTTAAGGTAAGTATGGTCGCTCCAACAGTTTGGCAGCTGCTTTACCAGAGAAAGCAACACTTTGCAGTGGTTTTATGCTAATGTAAGATACTCAATCTTGTTTTGATCAGAGTATAAGCCCCTTTAGAAGAGTTGCATTAAAATGAACTGTGAGAAGATGGTCACAGGAAGCTGAAGAAGCCCTGCAAGGTTATTTTGAGGCTACAGACTGGGATTCACTGTGTCAGCCACATTGAGAGGACATCAACGCAATGAGTGAGTGTTTGACTGACTACATAACATTCTGTGTAGATAACACCATCCCTACCAGAACAATGAGATGCTCCCATTAATAGACCTTGGATGACCAGTTACCCAAAGGAATTGCTAAACAAGAAAAAGGAGTCTTCAGGAATACAGACAGGGGATTAATGAGTATACAGAAGCTACTTAAAGCGACGGTTGGTAATGTTGGAGATTTAGCATGATTTGAAAGCAGCACAGCCCTCACCCCTCCGCTGTGCAGAATAGAGAGCATCCCCTTGATGAGGCTGTTAAAAAAGTATCTTCAGTCAAAGGCTTTCCCAGATCTCTACAGAGGATCCTCCCAGTCTAAAACTACAACCATAATGACTTGTAAAAAGGCATATATATATATATATATAACAACTATTTTTTCTCACCCCTTGTGGGGTGGTATGTGTCATCCTCAAGCTCTGGTCCTCTCGGGTCCTCAGTGTAGGGGTTTCCTGGGAGTTTGAGGGTTCTGCACTGTTCCTAGGACTGTTCCTAGGACTGTACTCTTATGGACCGAGATGTCTGATGTTTTTCCAGGGATCTGCTGTAACCACTCTTCAAGTTTGGGGGCCCTAATGACCATGGGTACCACTGATGCCTTGACCTTCCAGGTTTTCTCCAGCTCTTCTCAGAGCCCCTGGTATTTCTCTAGTTTTTCTATGTAACCACAAAGGCTTTTCCTCTGCTTTTTGTCCACCAGCACAATGTCTGGTTGGTTTGCCATTACCATTCAGTCCGTCTGTATCTGGAAGTCCCACAGGATCTTGGCTCGGTCATTCTCTACCATCTTTGGAGGAGTTTCCCACTTTGTCCCTGTACACTATTCCAGCCACTTGCTTATGGCGCTCCATGTAAGCTTTCCCTGCCAGCATTTTACACCCTGTGGTTATGTGCTGGATTGTCTCAGGGGCCTCTTTGCACAGTCTGCACCTGGGGTCTTGTCTGGTGTGGTAGATCTGGGCCTCTATTGCTCTGGTGCTTAGGGTCTGCTCCTGTGCAGCCATGATGAGTGCCTCTGTGCTGTCCTTCAGTCTGGCTTTGTCTAGTCATTGGTAGGATTTCCTGATATCTGCCACTTTGGTTCTGTTTCGTGGTACAGTACATCCTGTGTACGGGCTTATCCTCCCATGTCGGAACCTCCAGCACCTCATCTTCTGTTCCCCATTGTCTGAGACATTCAGTGAGGATGTCGTCTGTTGGAGCCTTGCCCTTGATGTACTTATGGATCTTGGATGTTTCATCTTGGATAGTGGCTCTTATGCTCACTAGTTCTTGGCCTCCTTCCTTACGGCTGGCATACAGTCTCAGGGTACTGGATTTGGGGTGGTACCCTCCGTGCATGTTGTGGAGCCTTCATGTATTAACATCTGTGGCCTGTACCTCCTCCTTTGGCTAGCTTATTATTCCTGCAGGATACGTGATTACTGGTAGAGCGTAGCTATTTATTAGCCAAGACTTATTCTTGCCATTGAGCTGGCTCCTTAGAACCCGCCTTACTCCTTGGAGGTATTTGGCCGTAGCCACTTTCCTTGTCACCTCTTTGAGGTTCCCATTAACTTGTGGGATTCCAAGGTACTTGTAGCTGTCCTCAATGTCTGTTATTGTTCCTTCTGGGATTGAGACCCTCTCTGTGTGGACTACCTCCCCTCTCTTAGTCACCATCTAACCACACTTCTCTAATACGAATGACTATATATATCCTATAAAGCGGACCTATTTGACAAAGGATGGATGAAAATTACTAGGTTCTAAGGCGGAGGAGGAGAGAAGCTTCATAGATGTAGGGAAAGATGCTGAGATGGGGAAATTATTAGCTTCAGAGAACGGCTGATGAAAGAACATTGGACATTTACAACCATCTCATTTAAAACACTCATAAGATTTATACTGAAACACTAGGGGCCATTATTTACACTGGTCATATACCGTTATTATTGGTGGCTCCTTAAGTGAAAAAAGAAGACCCCATTTTGACTCGTCCCCTTAACATCTCAGGATCTGTTCTGTTTTTTTTTTTTTTTTTATGTATTTGCTTTGAAATTACATAACAGCCTCTAGGCTTTCTTCAAAACCTAGCCTATGAATCACAGAACTATAAAACAGACACTGTATTCATTTGAAGGAATGTTGTTACATCAACTATTACTTGAATATATAAAAGACCTTTTTTTGACAGTATACACCAGGGGTTTGCAACCTCCAGCTCCGGAGCCACGAGTGGCTCTTTGTAACCTCAATAAAGGCTCTTAATAGTGACCTAAAATGATTTTTAAAAAAAACATCTGATGTAGTACTAGTCTGAGAAGCTTTTCTTGGTTCTTTTAATACATTTTTATTGGACTTTCACAATAGAATGACAGTAAAAGAACCAGAAATATGTTTAAAAATCTACTTTCCTTGTCATTAGCTTGAGAATTATGTGGGTTATGTTTTATTGTGTTATTTTTTACATCAAATTATATCCTGTGGATAAAAATCCATGATTCTTTGTAGAATATTTGATGTGTTTGTTATTTTGAAATCTAAAAATGCAACAAAAAGGTTAGTTGTTTCAAAAAGCAACAGATTTTCTCTATCAGATATTTAACAAAAAATAATTAGCCATGTCTTGTTATAATTTTTATACAATATTTGCACAATTAGGAACGACAGGGGACATTTGCTCTTTTAATTTTAAAGTTTTCAGCCCTCTGGTACAAACAGGCTGAGCTACATTTGGTTATAGCTTTAAATGATATCCATCTATCATCTATCTAACAGGTCAGCAGTCCATCCATGTACATAGGGACAATTTAGAGACACCAAATACCCTGACACTCCAATACTACTGAAGCAATAGGAAATAGATATAGCAATACTACTCTTCAGTAGCAATACTACTGAAGAGGAGTATTTCTCCTTGGTCTTTTCTAAATTAATTATATAATTGCCCAGTGTGTGTTTGTTTTCCTGTAATGTCCGGGGTTTTTAGCCCAATGTAAACTGGCCATCAGCACCACATGAGCCTGCAATGATAGGTGGATACAGATAATGGTTTTGTTTTAATTTGACCAACATGTGTTTTATCTGCCTCCTGCCAGAGCAGCTTCTAACTGAAAGGAATCAAAGGGACATATAGAAATGAACAGTATGAAATGAGCTGAGTTTCCACAGGCTACCACAGTGAATGACTAACATGCTTTAATAGTTCATCTTCATTTTTCACTGAACAAAAGTGTCTTCATGTCAGCTTAGCTGGTTATAAAACTATAGATTTTTCTCTAAAAGAGAACAGAGGACAGAATGAGAGCAGTGTGAGATGATGATGTGCAGCAATAAGAAGTTGTTCTATTGGACCAGTCTTTGTTTATCAGGCTGATAAGCTGAGCTTGATGAGAGAAATATGCTCCGAATGGAAAACAAACTGCAATCAGTGGTTTATCTATAGTTTCTTCTATCTTATGTTCATCCATGCTACTTTGTTGTGTGTTTGATCCATAACTCTCATATCTTTATTTTGTTTTTGCCAACTAATGAAGTTGAGGCTGATATGTTTTGTTTGTTGTTGTTACAGAATTTATATCTTTCTCTATCAGTAGATAGTGTTAGTGACATTTCATGGTCCAGTTTGTATTTGAGTATCTTAACTCCATCCTAACATTAGTGATAAATAAGATGATAAAATTCAAACATGCACCAAAATTAGAAGAAGAAATGCAGAGAGCGTTATTTCTCAGGTTGTTTGTGTCATTCATATTGAGGGTTTATCTCATGAAAACGTTTTAGCCGGGGCTTTCTAGTTTATCACCGATCAAGCAGCACATGGTGGAACTTACTTCTCTGGGTTGTCGACCTCCTCCGTTACAAAGTTTAGATAAAACCTGAAAAAACACAGCAAAAAAGAAAATTAAATAACAGCTTTAAAAGTAGATATCAACAGCAACAGATGCAAAGTCCATCTCCTTGGACTGAATATTTCATCACGTAACAATATGTAACCAATTACACTGTTTTCTTTCAATACATCAATGATATATCTGTATTTTAATGGTTTGTATGAAATGTTACTAGTTATTATGATGTTTAGGCCATGTTTATACCTCAGAATGACTTGAAATGGTAAACTGAGAGTTGTTACACAAGACTTAATAAAAGTTACATATCATACAGTCCGTGAGGCAGACACCCTGTCTACTTTTAAGGCTAGGCTTAAAACTTTCCTTTTTGATAAAGCTTCTAGTTAGAGTGGCTCAGGTTATCCTGAGCTATCTCTATAGTTATGCTGCTATAGGCTTAGACTGCTGGAGGACATAGACCACTTTTCATCATTCTAGTCCATTTAAAATTTCCCCACTTTCCTTGATGGGTCCCTTGCTGGTCCTTGGCTTGTTCCCATACAACTGCTTTTTGAACATCAATTTTTGTAGTAAAAAAATATTCTTTCTTTCATGATTTGTGGACATTAAGATCTAAAAAGAAGAAT